AGCCGAACAGTGACCACACCACTGTAAGTGCATAAAAGTCCCACAAGCAAATAAGAGTAATTGTAATCCATAAGAGAGACACCGAGTAGAATACAGTTCATTCAGGTAACTCAGGTTAGCCATAGCTGCACTGAAGCAACAATCTCTGCAGGACACGTTTAAAAGGGAGAGAGAAATTCCCTCTAGATAGATTCACCTGTATTATTAAGGAAAATACAAGTATTGATCAAGACTCGGTATCAGCAGATATTAAATGGGGAATGGGGGGGAACCATTTTATTGGGACATTTTTATCATAGTATCAAATGGTATTGGTATTGACTACTAAACTTCTGGTATCATGACATCCCTACTTGTCACACTTGAGTAAAACAAAGTTTTTTCCAAAGTTGCTTGTGTGAAACTGGCTACTAAGACATGTCATCGAGGTTAATGCAGATTCATGAAGTCTGATGAGCATCATCTGCTCTCTTTTTCAAATTTCATGCGATTTTGCAGGAGAGTTGCTTTGTGAGCTACAGCGTGGAGTCTTTGTAACTGGGATTTTTCATTATTTATTGGTGACCTCACCAAAACTCTGAACTACGCTTTAGAGCCCACTAGTTCTAAGCTAATTTAGCCTGGCACATAACAATAAAGTAGCTGCTAATGTTGATAATCACCCAACATATGGGCGCAGTGATAACTGATACATCCTGAGCAGAGGCTGCGTCAATTTAATTATATTTATCTAATGATAATGAGACATATGACCTATTTCATAGCATTTAATTTTCACAAATGCGTTATTAAGTTATTAATAACTTACACAAACATTGCATCCAATAGTCCAACTTCACTTCCCCTGCCTGTCACTCTCATCTCAAACACACAACAACAATAACAAGAAGCTAGCTCAGCCGGTCCGTCCCTGCTCGAAGCACGTCAAAATAGGTTCAGTTCTGGAACTCTGGACATCTTCAGCCCCTTGGAGGATGCACAGTAGTTTTAATCTGTCAGATGGTGCAACCCCTGATACTGAGTTTCAAACATTTAAAGGCTGATAAACAGTAAGGTTAACCACTCAACAGCACAGCAACAGCTATGTACAACTATGTCTGGCACTAACCACACACACACACACACACACACCATTCTTGTAATGTTACAACACATATGCCACAGCGACTCTCAAAAGGCCAAAGCACTGCTGTTCTCCATGCCTTTCTAGTGGAGACTGAAAGATCAACACCTAACACCAATATACTGGAAGTGAGGATCTTAGCACGAAACGTGTACCTGAATTAAATTAAATGAATAAAGGTAAATGCCAGCTTTTGATTTGCTTAAATTCAGCTGGGCTGAGGTTGAAATGAGAGATATTCAGGGTTTGTTTGTACTCATTATATTCATTAAAGTGGCCTTAACCATTACCTTAAAAACAGATTCACAAAAATAAATTTCAAGTTTAAGTTTCAAAAGGCCCTTTCACTCTGATTGTGTGTGTGGTTAATGCTAGAAAGGTGTATTTAACACCGCTAAACACTGCCACGCACTATTAACACCGAACATATGCCCTGCAATCTTTGGCAGTTTATAAACTTTTGTTCCCGTAGGTATGAGCCACAACAAACACACTGTCAATGGCACTTGGCTATCAGCAACTGGCTGAATCCATTGGCATCTGGGGGGGGTTCAGCGGCGCAGTACACACACTGAGCCAAAAAACAAGGCAGAGGAAAAATAGCTGTAGAGCCAGTGCGTTCTCACATCTAACTGCGGTGTATTAAGGGTTTATTTCAACTAGTTTGATGAGGGAATACCGTTACAAGGTGATTCGCAGAGCCTCCAAACTAGACTAACTCCGGGAAAGATGAGGACACAGCGGGAACAGCCCGGGGCAGAAGAGGCATGAAGCGGGTACGTCGGGGATCAAAGGGGCTTCGACAGTGCGTACAGCCAGAATATTTTCACATCAAACTCTGTTAGAGACACCAGAGTTGGTGATTGTTGGGACAGTGGAAAGACTAATAAAGATGGTTTGGTCAGTAATATTGTGTTTCTGTCGAGTTTGAGTGAAGTGGGTTTTAATATTGGTTAACAAGTTCTTAGTTCGGTATAAGAGAGAAACTTACATTTAGAAGGTGTACGATTGTATTATTCTGTTTTCTTTTCCTTTCCTTTCTCGACATTTGTTGAGTCTATTTTTTTTATTAATGCAATGAGAGGGGCAGTGATTAGGGCCAGGGGGTGCTGGGGCAGTACACATGCATGGGTGAATATATTTGCATTCACCGATTGTTGGACTTGCGGTGACTGGTTGGAAAATTTTAACGTATCGCCCAACAGTACAGTACATACACCAAATAAACACATCAGTTCACGCCATTGACAAAAATGGACAGAGCTTCCGGGTCTGAAAAATTAAGCTAACGCCGGTGTCTTAAAACATGCAATCTATGTAAAGGCCAGCAGGGGGAGCTCCACTGGCTGCAATAACACCGATCCCATTCACTCTAATGGAGAATGAGCCGACTTGACACTTCATTTATGAGCTCAGTAAACAGTTTTCCATCTTCTTCCATACATTCGGATGTTCATTTAGTGAATTAGGGTCTAATTTAGAGTAAATAGACGGGGCTACCTTTTGATTGACAGGTCACTCTCAGTAAGTCTCAGTAAGTTTGTGACCTGGCGAGCTGCCATTGTTTCCTGTTACGGACGAGTCAAAACTGCACAGCCAATGAGCGTAGATCAACTCGCAGTACGTCATGTCCATTGTCACCACAACAATCAAGAGCAAGCAGTAAAATAAAAAAAAGAAAGAATCCAGACACCACATTTACAGCTACTAACAGGACAAAGAAACTAAAATTGGAGACACAGTAAAGTCAAGTTGAATTCCAAAGATTTTTGTTTCTGATAGCATGACCAAGCAATGTCCTTGTGATTTTCACAGAGTAATTGTAAACCTCTCATCCTCACTGTCTACCAATTCCTCCCCATGTCAATTTCCTCTCCTTTTCAAACGTGTGCAGAGAGACATAGAAGAAGTGATGGAAAAAGAGTAAAAGATTTTTGCATCACGCTGCAAGGTAACTAGGCAACTGTGTGCCCTTATTCTCTAACCTGCTTCACAGATAAAACAAAGGTCCTTCCGCACATATAAAAAGGTAGAGCTTAAACCCTTCACCAGACAGCAAACAATGGTTGCAGGGTTACATATTACAGTCTGCTGCAGTAGTTAGAGCATTACATCTACTCTAGATGTTTAAAATCAGCAGCTAATCTCTAATGGAGATTGTAAGTTTGTTTCAGAGTGTGTCCGAACTTCTGAACACTCCTCATCTGTATGCAGCACTTTCTTATGTTGCCATGAGCCATGTTGGAGGTCCTTGGAGTCAGTAACTGATTTTCATCTGTATATTAATGCCACATTCGGAAACATCAAAAATAATGCAAGAGGATGCTCTGGACCAGTTTACAGTAATCAGGGTTATCTGGTGGTTAGTAGCAAAAACTGTGGAAACAAACAAAAAGGCCTGCTCACAATGCTACTGAATAAAATAAAATAAATATGAATGCTGTAAATTGTATTTTTATTATGCTGTTTGTTTTCATTATTAAATATTTAATATATATATATATAGTAATCAGTTAGAAGATGTCATTGGTCATATATTCAAATTAGCATTGAATGTTTCCCTAAATAAGCCTAAACTTTAGTTAACTAGTTAAAATTTGAATTTGAATGTGTCACAGGACACAACCTTACTAACTAACTGTAGTCGTGAACACATACAACACTAATTTAGGCTTAGTTATTTCTAGTTTTGACGTTAGAAATGTCAGCAATTATGAGAAATTTAGCAACTGTGAGTTAACATTTATGACTTAAATGGTCAGAAACTTACCGGCTACCCTCTCTTCCAGTGAGCTGGATGTGGAGACATTTGTAGGTCCGAAAAAATCCACTGAGGAGCGCATTTTCATTGGAAGCAATACTTAAATGATAATTAGACCCAACTCAGTTATTTCATACCCAGAGTGAAACTGTAAAATTGGTGGAAGAAATTTCGCTAGTTAACAGCTAATTCAAACAGGTTGGTTGCGCAGCTAAAACGACGTAGTTTAAATTTGATTGACAAGCGTCTCGACCAATGGCGTGTAGTATCACCGAACTACGTAGGCGACAAAGCAACATTCTTTCAATTCTATCAACCAATCATATCACCGCATGCCTACCTGACACCCAGGTTTTATTGTCAGCTAAAAATATCCAGTAATAAATCTGCAGCTACAAAAAACACTCCAATTATCCCTCTCCAGGGGATAGTCAGCGTCAAATATTGTATATCCAATAAAACGTTAATAAAAATATGAAAGTGGGTCATGAAACTACCTATATATACACTTGCTAAATTATATTGCGCCGTCTTTTGGACACATGTGGTACAGCATTTGCTTAAATCATATTTTCTTTCAACCTAGAATTAGTTTTTTGTTTTTTCAGTCATCATGAGGGACAAATCCTGTAAATTTCAGCCCCATTGTCCATATTATGACTGATGTAGGTCTACTGTATTTGAGCAATTAGGTGAAATGGGTAAAAACAAGAACACGTGTTTGTTTGTTTGTTTGATGATCCTATGGATATGCATCAGTTATTCATAGTCTAGGAATTATAAACCATTTAAAATGGGTATGCCAATAGGTCAAAATGCACAAGCTGACTTCTCCCATGCCAAAATTCATAGGATATCAAGACAGGAGTGCACTGTTTCATAGATGTTAAAAAGTGCTAAAATGTGACAATAAATGTGCTTTGTCACACTGTTTTTTTCACTTCATTTTTGTTTGCTACCCTGATTTGATTTGTGGTTGATATGATTGATTTATATCTCTGTAAGTGTTTCTCTAGCTTGAGAGAGAGAAGATGATGGCCTTAGCGGGAAGCAGTGTGGTGTGTGTCTGTAAGTGTGTGTGTGTGTGTGTGTGTGGGAATTGCACAAAATATTTACCATGGAGTGTGGTTCCTGCGAGGAGGTACGTGATATGCTGGCTGTATCCACGCTTCCTCGCCTGCTGCTCTTGTGCCCTTCAGCCAGCCAGCACCCTGAGGTTCCCAGCAGAGCGGCCACAGCCACAGCCCAAACACCCAGGCTGCCCATGATTATCTAGTGGGAAGTAAAAACAAAATGCACACAAAGTTCTTGAATTCACTTTGTTGTACCCACTGCAGTTTCTAAAAATAAAACATGTTACACAGGTCTGTAGTCCTCTTCATATTTATCTAGGTGAAAGGGGAATGGAATTTTTACTGGTATCTGAGCACTACAAAACTGAGGCTTAATCACCTTTATATGTTCTGATATCCATGTCATTAAATGAACCATGTCAAATTTGTGTTGTTGTTGTGTATCATTATGTAACTTTAACTGTAAATCTTCAAGCCTTGTTTTGTGATTTTAATCTCCTGTAATCCTATTTGTATGGAAATGCATTTTAATTACTTTTTAAACTTGCTATTGAATTGTGTGTCTAACACTTGCAGTAATTTCCAAGCAAGCAAAATGACAAAACATCATTGTGTTCTCCACAGAGAAGATAAAGACAGACGAAAATATGTTCAAATAAACTCATTACGTTTTTATGTCAATGTAACCATTGTAATGTACAGAATTTGTTGCGAAAGGGACTCCCCTATAAATGAGATGGAGGAGAGGAAATGTTTGCAAATCAGGGTCTTCAGATAACCTTATTTTGTCAGAGCTGGTTGCTATTTCCAGGCATGACATCACAACAGAAGATGTTTTTGCCTAAAGAAGGCAAATATGAACAAGTTGAAATAGGATACCAGTATCTCAATAACTCTGTGTTAGTATCCCTGACTGATCCCTAACTTAATAGTATCCCTGATACTGATACTTTGTCAATTTCCAACCATTTTGATAAGATTCATAAACATATGTGAGACAAATACCTTAAAATGATGTTCATGCATGCACAGTTCCACACACAATGAAACAAATACTGTACACTTACATACACTCATCATGTACACACACACATAGCACACGAACATGTGGCATAATACGACTATGTGAACATCAAAGCTCACACTGATGGGGATAATTATCTGTATTACAAAGGACACAGAAAATCTTTTGATGTCAACAAAGAGACAACCCTCTGAAGTCGCAAATGGTGGAGTGTGGCATGGGAGCTTAAAATATGAACTCAGAAGATCAATTTCACTCCTGTGACACATACACACTCACCCACACACTCACTCACTTACTCACACACACACACACACACACACACACACGCACATAAACCTTCAAGAAAAAATACACAAAGTTTCCCAACTGGTGTAGTGCGACACTGGAGAGTAAAAAGCACCTGATGTAGCTGTACCTTTCAAATAATTAAACATTAAAATGTGTTTTAAATGGTACTGCTTTGAAGGGCTCCACAGTGCGAACTAACCAGACAGCTATTAATTTCAACTGGAATAAGATCACTGAATTATGTTCATAGAGTGGAAATACTGTGATAATAGGAGGACTTTGCATTAAAATGCGATCCAGTACACCAAAACACAAATGACGGACACATTAAACAGCTAATGATGAACTAGCAGCACTCTATGATACACTCACAACAACAAGAATCAATATCAGATATGTAAATGTTGTAATTACTGTAGATTTATTGGACTGGGTATGTATTTCATTGCACTGGTGTTGCTGTTATTGTGTCCAACCCCTGCATGTCTGATGCCCTCCAGAAGAACTTCAAGAAGGTATTTTGCACTGATGAGAAATATTTATTGCTTTCCATCAATGCCTGACTTCTTGTCTGGTCTTATCAGCTTATGTGGGTCTTTATGGTTGTACTGTGTGACACGGCAGTTTGTTATGTGTGTTCTTGTACTTTCAGGTAATGTGTTTATTGTTTTCACTGTGGTCTTATACTTTATTATGTGACTTTATTGTGTTTTTTACTACAGAACCAGTCTGAAAACAAATTTCCCTTAGGGGGCCATAAAGTTTGCAATTGAACTGAAACAAGGGCACAAAAACACATGATGCATCTCAAACAGTGCAGGTGTTTATGGTGTTAAATGCCTGCAGCAGTTCTTCACTAGAATATTGAATATTACAAGGGTGCATGTTTCACCTTGACCTGTAGTGCCATGGTGCTGCTAGCTGAAGTCTCATTCTCTGCTTTGCACATCCATTTTTGCTTTTTGCAATGAATAAATAAACAAATCCTTCAAAAAAATTTTATTAGAATTAATTTTACTTTAATTTTCTTCTTATGCCTTAATTTTGTAGTAACTGCTGACAGAGAGGAAAGGGTGGAGGAAGAGATGGGAGGACATGCAGCAAAGTGCTGTGGGCTGAAATCAAACCTATTGACTAATTCAGTAATCTCTGCACTGTCAGAACAATACAAAAACAGACTTTTGAGAGTATGATTTTATATTTCATTTACTGTAATCAATGCTCATATGCATATTTCATATGCTCATTATATGTTTGTCAATTCAAATTCAGTCCAGCAAATGGAGCTCGCTATGGAGTTAGATCATTAGAACATTTTGAGTTGAGATGATTTAAGCTTGCCCACATGCTCATTATTTTTAAAATCGTTATCTGCAAAGTAACTAGTAACAAGAGGTGTCAAATACATGTTGTGGTGCAGCTACAGCATTTACCTCTGACATGTGGTGTATAAAGTAGCATAGAACTGCAATACTCAAGTACACAGGAATGTAACTAATTATAGTATTTGAGTAAATGTACATAATTTTCCACACATAAGTCCTGTCAGTGTAAACGTCCCTTAGCAGGGAACCACCAGCATCATTCAGCTAGCTAGCCCGAGGCTAATGGGCCCTCACAGATGAGAGCTCACCCTTGTGAAATTAAACACCAAATGAGATCTGCCAGTCACTGTCTTAATGTGCTGCCTGGCCCCCTGGCATTGGCCCACACACAGCTACACACAATAATACATGAGTACACACAGACACACACACATACACAAACAGAGTCCTGGTGGTGTGGAGTGAATGGTCCATTTTGAAATTCATCAGGAGGGAGAAAGTCTATGAGGAAGCTATTATTTGACCAGCATATTAAAAAGCTTAAAGAGACAGACTCTTTAAAACCAGTGCACCCTTTGGCAGCTTTGCTCAGATCAGACTTGTTCAGAGAGCGACTTGCATTCTAAACAGACTCAATGCCCTGAAAGTTAAATACCATCTACTCATATCCCAGCTACCTTCGCTGCATATCTCTCATTTTGCATGTTTCTTTCTTCAGAAGTTCCAATTTTCAGGACACAAAGATATTGTTAGGGGCCTGAAGTATCCTGTAGAGCTGCCTGCAGCTGGCCTGTGTCCTCTTTCAGTCACTTACTTTCTGGTAGGAAATTTCAAACTCATTTTCTTCGTATACATTGCAGAGAAATTGGTTTGAAGGCTTTTTACATTATTAACTGAACCAGACCGTTAGTAGTTGAATCACAAGTTTGTAGTACTAGATTTTTTTAAAAGATGAAAAATGAAAAAAGGCAAGAATATTAGACAAGATGGTGAACTTCTCATCCCTTACAGCACTGAAATACATCTTTGCACAGACCAAGGAACCTTATCTTGTACTGGAGTCGCATTTGGAAGGGTTACTTTACTACCAGTATGGGCTTGAAGAATGATTACAGCAACCAATAACTGTCTCAATGTACATATGGAAATGTGAGTATTGTGTTAAGATAGAAAAACCTAACTATTGAACCAGATGTTCAGTTCCATAGGTTGTTTGGGAAGCTGACAGCTTTCTTTCTATTGCTACTAAAACAGTGAAGGAAATAATCAGCTAATTCCCTATAATGTGCAGTGCTCAGGTACAGTAAAGAGCCATCTGCTAGCCATCACATTTTAAAATAAGGCATTCAGAGGGAGGCAACATCTCCCACCCCTTTGAGACGTATCAGCTCCATTCAGAGAGGAGTTTCTTCTTTTTTTAAAATGTTTACCCATTGTTTAATTTTGAATGGCTGCAAAGATTTGAGAAGATCACTGCTCTTTACAAGCAGCCATTCTAAAGCCAATATGGGATTATTAAAGCTGTCACAGGTTTATATTTATCATCTGTTACTGATTTTAACTGTACTTTTACCTATTTTATCTTTACTTTTACTTACTTTATTTGTATCCTTGTTTTTTGAAGCACCTTGCAACGGTAGTTTTGAAAGGTGCTATATAAATACCAAGTTATTATTATTATTATTATTATTATTATTATTATTATCCTTTTAATATTGCTCAATACATAGTGATGTATTAGTGGCTTTTTGAATCTTGTTAGTGGCTAATGGCTAAATACAGTTTCAGTATCAGGACTCACAGTTCACTTTAGATTAAAACTGGTGTCTAAGTTAAAAATATAAATATAGTATTTATGCATTATTTTATTTAACGCTTCCTTACTGCTCAGAGTCACCTTGTATTATATGGTTGACCAAACAGTATACACCAAGTAAACTAAATGTTAATAAATGGAGATCATTGTGGATAGCTTCCTTCCACCGTCACATTCATATGACCAAAAAAACTTGTGTATCCAGCAGTTTTCTCAATTTTAGAAAACATCTCGCAAATTGCATTTAAATAGGTTCTTATTATCAACACAGTAAACTTTGCAGTTCCTTTCATAAAAATATGATTACACACATGCAAAATAGACATTCAGAAACCAATCTGGACTAAATTAAAACCAATTTTGACCTTAAGCCAGAAGGTCTGTCATTTGGTACCAAAAGTAAAGAAATTACATGATTACTTGTATTTCTGAGTCTTCCAAACATACAACACAAAACCCTGTTTTCGTTCCTTACTGTGAGAAACTACAAAACATCAGGCACACAAGCTGTCAGGCTGCGGCTAATGCTGATATGTGTCGGCAATATCAAGTTCTAGAGAACATAATGTTCTATGGCAGTAATGTTGACTGATGTTTCCTGCTTCTTTTGTGTCAAGTATTTTCTCATTTACAGTTCTCAGTGTTTTCTAGGGTGTAGATCAAATCATCTATTGATTAAACTGATCCTAATCTAAGGGCATGACTCTTCCCGGCCACTCATAACAAGACTGTAGGCGGGATTT